GGAAAGCAGGTCGGCGGGCAGGTACGGACCACAGCCGGGTGGCGGACATCTGGGCCACATGCGCAGGGACCCTTGGAAGGTGGCCCGTGCCTGCACGCAGGCCCCCAGCACCCTACCCTGAGCCCTGGAACAGTTCTGTCTGCAGCTCAGCTGATCTCTTCTTTTCCACCTGAAATCTTGACCACAAAGTTATTGGGAAAGAAATTATAGACTTCAGGGCAAACAGACCCTTTTAACGACAATTTTGCCAGGGATAAAGAGCTGCTTTTATCTTCGTGCCATTAGAAACTACGTTTAAATCAGTGCTCAGTTTATCGGTTTATTAAGTTGCCCAAGTTAAATTCTTTTTTATTTCATGGAAATCTGAATCCGTCAGACAGACACACAAAGTCACACACTAGCCCAGGGGACCAGCTGAAAGCAACCAGACCTGGGGATGCAGGAGCAGTAATAAACAGGGAGCAGCGGGAAGGGGCTTCAAGGCCCAGCACGGGAGGGGCCCAGCACTGTAAGTCCCCGCTAAACATTCAAAGAGGCTTCTGGGGAGAGATCGACTTGCAAATAAAGAGCCTCTCAGTCTGCCTAGGCTCCTAAACCTCCTGTCCCAACTTGCAGCTCTGAGCTCCCCAGTGTCACAAAAAGTTCCCAGGAAGATAAACACAACATCAGTTGGAGAGGAAACTGACTTTGGATCCCAGCTCCTCTGGAGACACACAAGGGGAGTGAGAAGGGTGAAGGCAGAAGGGAGGCACTCGTGCTGCACAAGGCACCTCCCCATTAAAGCTGGGAGGAGGGGGGCTTACCCGCAGGGCTGGAGAAGCTGTAGCCAAACCCGGTCGCCTGTGCCCTCCAAGCAGCTCCAAGCAGCTGCTGCCTGGCAGCAGGGAGAGAAATCCTCCAACGCCTTCACCCAAGCACTCAGCACCAGTACCCGCTCCAAGCAAGGCCTGCCAAGGACTTCTTGGGGCCTGAGCCAAGTACCCAAGTGGAGGCCCTGCCTTCCTGGCTGAGGAGACCCAGCCCTGGCCAGCTGGGAGCCTGTTTGCCCAACAAAGAGACAAAAGCCTTTGTGAGGCCAGGACTTCCGGTGGTCACGAGCTCGTGCTCTTGGCTGTTCCCGTGTGCCAGGCACTGTGCTAAGCATTGCACACGGATTAACTCTTGGGCCCTCACAACTGGAGGGAACCGAGGCACACAGAGGCTGTCTGCCTAAGAACAAAAGCTTGGAAGGAGCAGAGGCAGGATTTGAACTCAGGGAGTATGAGTCTGGATCTGCACGCTTGAAGATGCCCAGACCCTAAGTACACCCAACAATCACACATTTAAACACATGGCTGGAGAGGAAAGGAAAAGGAAAATGAAGTAGGCCCAGGGCAGACAGCGGCTCCTATAAACATTCAACATCCAGGTCCCAGGGACGTCGCTGTAACTGGAGACTCAATCTCAGCCTGGTTTTCTGTGACCCAACCCCAACCCCAACCCCATCAGGCCATTTGCGGCTTCCTCTATCTCAGTTAATAAAGATATTAATAACCACTTTAGAAGGCATTTCGCAGCTCAGAAAGGACATCCAGAGCCCACGGGGCACAACTATGGAGCCACCACTCAGCTCAGCAGCATGGTAGCCCTTACGGCCTTGCAGGAAGCACATCTATGGAGACCACAACAAGAACGGTACCCCCTGGAGTTGTGCTGGGCACAGCCTGCACCACCCTGCACGGCCGCCCTGCATGCCTCCTTGGCGTTTGTCCCCAGTCACCGATGCTATGCTAGGAGGAAGGTTTCACTTGGACCACGCCTGCTCGGAGCAGCTAAGCTTTGGGAATTTTCTGAACCTTGCAAAAGTTCCGTGGCTGGGAATCAGCAGTGCTGAGATTTGGAAACTTGAACCTGGGCCCGTGACAACAAGCCATGTCCTTGCTTATCCCCGGATGAGGCTGCTTCTTTCCCAAGGAGGCTGTGACAGCACAAAGACAATTGTTCGGGAATGCCTGTTCCCATCAGTTGGTGATGAATTAGGAGTGTCCTCTCGCTGTATTTTATACTGCATGCAAGTGACACATGAGAAATGAATCTTCCTTTGAGTAAAGGCTTAAGAATATTGGAAAGAGCTGAGCTGGGGGCTTGCCGTCCTCAAGGGGAGGATGCCTCACAGCACAATTTTGGTTGCACCCTTCTCCCACCAGCTGGAGACCCGTGGTCAGCCCAAGGCTCGTGCCTTGCCTGCCAGTTCCCCCACAGCCCTGAAGCCACATTTCCGCAGCCAGCAGGTGACCATATCCCAGATGGGCACTTCGAAAGCTGCACCCGAGAACCACACAGCCTCTGCTTTGCAAGGTGCAATTGGGTGTCCCTAGGGGCACTTGACCCAGCCACCAGACCCAGAACAAGGGTTCCTGGTGTGACAGCTTCCTTTCCATGACAAACACTGCTGTCCCCATGACTCAGACATTTATCGCGGAACTCAGGTTCAGAAGCGGACTGCACTGGGTAGTTACGCCCCACGGCAACAGATGCATCCCCTGCCCTTCCCACAGTCCCCTGCCCTTCTCGAAAAGGCCTGGCCCCGGCCTGTCCTGGGGTGGAAGCCATCAGCACAGGGCGCAGGAGAAACAGTGGGGAAGACAGAGAGGGGTTAAGAGCTCTGGAGAGAGAAGGCAACAGGGTTGCGTGTGCGTGCATATATGAGAGTCCTGGTCCTGTGTGCGCGTGTGTATCTGTATGTGTGTCTGTGTGTGTATCTGTGTGCTTGTGCAGGTATTCTTGTGTGTGGTGCATTTGCTGGGTCCATCCCTGTGTGCCCCTGTGCTTGTGTGTGTCCATGTGTCTGAATGTGCGCGCCCCCTGGACCCGCGCCCCCGTCCAGCTGGCAGTGCACAGCCTGGGGGCTGTGCCTGCCCACCGGATGAGAGGTGGCAGGTGTGTAATAAACCATTAGTCACTGTCATGTTTCTGAGCAGCAGCGCCTCCCCAGGAGGGATCTGACAGCGGGATGGAGCTCCTGGCGGGTCTCTGGCTGTGGAGCTACACCCCCCACCCCGCTCCGGGCAGGGCTGCAGCCTGATGGGGAGCAGCTGGCAGACGCAGGCCTCGGGCCCCGGCCCTGCCCCATGCAGCTGGGCCTTATGTGTGCCAGCCCGGGGAGGGGTGGGTAGTGTCCTCAGGAGTCACAGCTTTGCAGGATATTACCCAGAGCTGAGGGGCAGCTGGGGTGGAGAAGCCTGGTCAGGGTACCAGCCTCAGGGATGCTCCACGCTGCCTGGAGGGGGCGCCAGCTGGGTAACTAGGAATTATAAGTAACAACAGTGCTGACCCAAGCCAGCACTTACAGTGCCCAGGGTGCCAGGACCTGAGCTGAATGCTCTTCATGTCTGGATTAGTTTAATTTTCACACCTGCCCTGTGAGCCAGGCACTCGTGTTAACCTTCATCTCCATTTCTCAGGTAAGAAACTGCGGCGTGGAATGGGAGAAGACACTTGTCCAAGGCTCTGAGTGTGTTGGGGAGCGGAGAGGAAGGTTCCCCCCAAAGCATCCCTGCCCACTCCCTGCAAACCGCCCCCGCCCCCGCAGCCTGACCACCCCATCCCCATCTGCCCACCAGCTCCTGGTCAGCAGGGCCTGTCCCTGGCCCAAGGCCCAGCCCCTTCCCTAGCCGAGTACACATCACAGAGAGAAAGTGGTGAGGACTGGGGTAGCCCTGGAGGTGGATGTCCCAGGCGCAAGACCTGACATGAAGGCAGGCTCGGCCACCCGCCTCAATGCCCTGCTTCCCCCCACCGGCTGGCCTGTCTCCTCCCAGTTCTGGCCCATCTCTCAAACAAGCAGGGCTTTCAGCCAGCTGCCCCCACGGTGGGCCACTACAGAGACACGCCTGCTGGGGGGCTCAGGACTCAGTCCTCTCAGGGGGCAGCAACAAGGTAGAGCACACACAGGAACCTACAGTGAGAGGTCTCGCTGACAGAAATATGGCTCAAAGGGATCCTCCTGGGTAGGCACACAGTCATCCACCACAGGCCAAAGTCCAGCTAAAGGGCCTGACCCAGGACCCACTCGCTGTGCCCAGCCCAGGGTCAACGGGCCCCACAATCGACGCTTCGGGATCCATACCCACAGGCCCATCAGCCAAGCAAGGAGCCCACCTCTGTCATCGGGGGACTGGGAACGTCCGACGGGGCCTCCGCCCGTGGCTGGCGGGGTGGGAACGGAACGCCCACACCAAAAACCAGTGGGTATTATCTTCCTTAAGCCAAACGTCCTCATCCCCTCCGGCCCAGCCAAGGTTAACACCCGCGAGAGACGTGCGTCAGGACGTGGCGCATTCACAACTGAAAAACCCAGAAATGACCCCTGCGCCACCAGTGAGTGGGCGCCCGCGGCGGTGAGCAGTACAACAAAGGAACAGTGCATGGCAGTGAAAAAGAGCGCACTGTGGCAGCCTGTGACGACAACACGGACGCACCCCGCCCCACGAGTGTGGGGCGCCCACCCCGGGACACAGAGTTCCAACCACCAGGGAAGACCGGCCACTCGATGTTTAGGCAAACACAGGGGCTAAGGAAGAAGCACAGGCAGGCCGGTGCCGCCGTCCGGGGCGGGGGGCAGGATGCAGGGGCATCAAGGTCGATGGACTGTCTACTGCCTAGGTTGGGTACAGGGCTCATGGGTACCCATGACGATAATTTCTAAAATAAACAAGTGCATACAGTAGAACGCAGAGATAGATAAATATGGTTCAACACGCAAAGGTGGTCTGAGAATCAAGGATGAGTGGGTGTTGAGAAGCAGGGATTCTGCTTAAACCACTCACTGGTTTAATTCCTGAGGAGCATTAAAAAAAAAATCCCAACTCAAGTACGGGAGACCCTGCCTCCAGGGTCTCACCCAGAAAGCGGCACTCATGGGGCAGAACTCTGAGCCCAAACTGGCTTTGGGGCCCCTCTCCCGCCATGGCTGGCACAGCCCACTCCAGGTCCTAGAGATACAAAAGAGCGGCGTCTACCTGTGCCCGTGAGGTCTGGTCCGGCCCCATCCTGGCTGCTCTGCTGACACCGGGCTGGCCCCAGCTCCGGGGCGGTCTTGGGGCCTCTGAGCAGGCTGTCTGCTGGGCTTCCCAGCCAGGGCTCAGGCTCCCGGGCGGGCGGGTGGATGGCTGTCGGTGCCTCGAGAGATGCAGAGGTGACCTGGAATGACAGGAAGGTAGACACGGTGAGCCTAGGCCATACCTGCTTGGGGGTGCCCACTGGGGCTCTGGACATCTTCCGCTCCCTTGATGGCCTGGCCTTTGTGGTTGGGGCGCAGCTTGGCTGGCGAGGGGCGGGGGAGAACTGGTGCCCAGCAAAGCCAGTGCCAGTCTCTTCCTCTCCCAGCACACACTGCCCAGGAAACCAGGCTGCCCAGGCTGGACTCAGGACACCGGTTCCGTCCACAGCCCCATCACTACCCTAGCCCGCCCAGCTCTCGTGGAAGCTGGTAACTACTACTTACTAGTCAGTTATAACTATAAAGATAAACCTAGATACTCTGCAGTTCACCCAGCAGGGTAGCCATCCTGTTCCCTCCATGCCCATCCCTTTTTTGTATTAAATCGTGGTAAAATAGAACACAATTTAAGAAGTACAAAAATGCAATAACGTGAAATATACCATCTTGACCATTTTTAAGTGTACAGTTCAGTGGTATTAAGTCCATTCACAATGTCGTACAACCATCACCGCCATCCATTTCCAGAACCTTCTCTTTATTGCCAATGGAAACTCTGTCCCTATTGAACACTAACTCCCTATTCCCTCCCTCAGCCCCTGGCGACCACTGTTCTCCTTTCTGTCTTGTTGACTTTACCTTGCTCGCCCCATCCCTTTTTTACATCTGAGGAAACTGAGGCTCAGAGAGGGGTGGCAGACACCGGAGGACACCAAGGCAGGGTGAGCTCAGGTCAGCAAGGCTTCGGATTCTGGGCTCCCCGCTCCCATCTCAGACTCTGGTCAGGAGGAGGCGAGCTAAGGCCCTGCGTGGGTTTCAGGGCCTGCATCACCGACTGCAGGGACCAGGGGCCAGTACAGGAACGGGCAACCCCCACTTCCTCATCATGAGCTCCAGGGCCAGCATGGCTGTAGAAAAGCAACTTCATGTGGATCCAGGTTTTTTTTTTTTCTTCTTCCAGGGATTAGTGCTGTAAAACCAAAGTGTCTAAGAGAGATGGATGGCTCAGAATTCCTTGGGTGAGCATAGGCTCCGCCAGCCCTATGTGTGAGAGACGGATAAATTTACCGTTTGTTTCCGGGAATGCTTTAAATTATGGGATCCATATGGTGACACAGCCCAGACCACAGCCCCCGCAAATCCCACAGGCGTGCTGGCGGCTTAAGCTGGAGCCAGGAGGAGGCGGCACCTTGGCCCAGCACACGTCATTCATTCGCTCACTGGCTTTGCGCGGGACCCGGGGTGGGGGGAGGGCGTCAGCATGGCAGGGACCCTGGAACCCCATACAGATCCCACCCTGGCAGGTTTCAGCTGCTGTTGCAACTGTGCCCTAATCGTCTCGGAAAACTGCCAGGAGCAGGGCTGCTATGTTCGCCATTAGTCATAGGACGACCCAGCCAGCCAGCTCCAGGGACTATTGGGATTTGAACCCAAGCAGTTGGGAGAAAACTTGGCTGGTACAAAGCAATCAGGGGCAGGAGGTGCACAGCTTTTAATTAGAGAACAGCAGATGGAAAGAGAGTACTACTGGGCAAGAAGGGATAGATGACAAGCACTACAGGCGTCTGAGAAAGAAAGAAATCCACAAGAGCTAGGGGAATCCAGGCAGGCTTCCTGGAGAAGGCTGAATTTTAACTAGGCCTTCAAGGGGAGCAGCATTTGAAAGGGAGAAGGGACAGGAGGCACAAGAAATTCAAACACACATCCCTGCAGGGACCAGTAGGGTAAACCACAAACCAGGCACTGGGTGGGAGAAAACGCAGGGGCAGCTCCACTCGGCACCGGTGGGGGTTGTATCGAGGGACTCAAGCCCTATCTTGCCAGATCTGATTTTTCAAGAGGAAGCGGGGAATCCATTTTTAAAAGCTGCTCTCTCATGATTAATAAGTGCTGGTAACTAATCAAAAACATGTTAGAGCACTGTGTGATCGCTCCTATACTGTTGGCAGGATTGTAAGGCAGTGTGGAATGGCCTGGAAATTCTTCAAGAGGTCAAAGGTAGAGTTATCATACGAACCCCAGAATTCCACTTTCAGGTAGATATCCAAGAGAATCAAAAACATGTGTCCACACAAAAACGTGAATGTTCATAGCAGCCCTCAGTCACACAGATGAATGAATTCTGCCAACGACCAGAATGAATATGCAGGCGGGTTCTTCCCCAGTGAAGCAGGTGTGAGTCAGCCCGACTGACACCTTGACTTGTAGCCTGTTGAGGGCCTGAGCAGAGGACCCAGCTGAGGGGTGTGATGATAAATGCTCTATAGGATGCTAAATTTGTAGTTGTTTGTTACCCAGCAGTAGCTAACTGATACAAACAGGAAAGCTCTAGAATAGTACATGCCCAGCTACAAATATGTGCCTAGAACATTGTATGCCAAGCTGTATGCCAGAAACATGAGGGAACCAACACCAGTCCCTCCTCTGGTCTAGCTCTTCCCACCAGCCAGTATTGATGGGTGGGCAAGGCTGCCAGACACAGCGGTGCTGTGAATATGGATTATCTCACGCCAGCCTCATCTTAGTTGGGGGCAAAGGTTCTCTGACAGACTATCAGACAGAGGCAGAGAGCCGCCTTTCTTCACCCTTCAAAGTTGAATTTACGATTCTCACTAATAAAAAGCAGGCCTTGAACCAACATTCATTGTGCCTTCTTTCTATCAAGCCACGAGTTCCAGGCTTGGGGTCTGTCTTAATTTAAAGTCCTATTAGGAGTGGCCTGGGAAAAATATCCTGCCCCCTTGAAAGCAGCAGCATCTCTGAGCTCATGGGGCCGCACAGAACGAGCGGGGTAAATGCTATTGTTTCCTTTATACCTGCCTCTGGACTGGGGCCACTATATTTAAAGCATTAGTCAGTTAATGAGGAAAGACCAAAGCGCGGGGGTTGGGGTAGTGGATTCCAGGGTTCTTAAACACAAGAGAGCACTGCAGCCCACCACTGGATATCCTAATGAGCTCTTGAAGTGTTACACTTTCTCCAGGGAATAAGTGGTCTCTGAGCACCAACTCAAGGTAGATTCGGGGGCGGGGGTGGAGTGGGAAAGAAGGCAGACACCCACCCTGCTCCGAGGGGGGCCACCGTGCTGTTTTCAGCGCACAGTTTTATTTTATTAACTGCATTAGTCCATGATATCCCCCACGTCTGAGAACCTCTGCTCTACTGCTCTTTAAAAAGTTTTATTGAGATATAATTCACATGCCATACAATTTATTCATTTCAAGTGCACAATTCAGTGGCCTTTGATGTGTCCGCAGAGTTGTGTAACCATTACCAGAATGCACACTGGGGCACTTGCATCACCCCAAGAAGGAACCTCGCACCCACGGGCAGTCGCTCCCCATCTCCCCGCCCCCCTCCCCCCGCCCCAGCTCTGGCGTCCATGATCTCCTTTCCGTGTCTGTTTGCCCGTCCTGGACGTTTCATATAAATGGAATCCTACAATATGTGGCCCTTGGTATCTGGCTTCTTTCACTCAGCATCATGGCTCCCAGGCTCTCCGTGTTGCAATGTGTAAACCGTATACAAGGTTCTGCAGAAGTAATGCCTGCTTGAGTGTGGTTGGTAGGGTGATAATATGGGTGTAATAATTTATAGTTTTAATTTGAACATTTCACCTACAATGTCATATGGCGTGCTTGACATTAGTGTGATATTGTTATAGGACGGAATTACGTTTAAGATTTTGAAATAAAAATGGGGCGTTATTTGTGCCAGACTCTGTATTTTTTTTTTTTTTTTTTTTTTAAACAAGGGAAGTTTCAGTTTGGGGGCCCATAGCAGCCCAGAGGCTTCAGGATGGAAGGCTCTAAGATTTCTCTCCCCAGCAGCCTCTCTGGCAGGGGCAGGAGGCTGTTATCAGGGCCTGTTTCTCCCTCCCTCCCGGGCACCCTGGCAGGCTCCATCTCTCAGCCTCCCTGCAGCACGGTGGGGCTAGGCACTGGGTCCTGGTCACTTTCCCCAGCTGGGAGATCTTAGCAAAGTGACTTAGTGCCCCAGCCTCAGTTTCCCCTTTTGCAAAATGGGAGCGACAGATAACACAGTGACTGCCTACCTTCCAGAGGGATGGTGAAAGGAACTACGTAAGTTATTTCTGTCAAAGCACTTGGCACATAGTAGGTGCTCAAGAAATGGCAGCTGATTTCATGATCTGACAGCAAAAGCATTAGGAACAAGAGTCAAAGCGGCATAGTGGCTGGGGACCCCAAAAGGCCTGAAGAGGTGTGCATTGGGGACGTCTTGGTGGCCTTGGCCTTGTGCAGTTTCAGCCCCAGCTGGCAGGGCTGCCTTCTAGGCTCCTTGTCAGCTGCTGGCCTAAAGCCCCAAGGCAGCCCAGGGGTCCCCAAGGTCAGGGGGACCGGATCTGTGGTGTGTGCTCCCCGCTTTCTCCTTATCACCCTGAATCTTCTTTTTTTCAACTAAGCTCAAGGCGCACTCCAGGAAGCTGGCCACGCCCATCCTGAGCAGAGCAGACCTGGAACTGGACCTGAGCTGCTTCTGGCATAACTAGGAATAACAGGCAAGTCGTGGCTGCTCTGACCTCAGTGTGTGCCTCTGGGAAATGGGCTAATAATGTAAACCCTAGATGTACTGAGCACCGACCATGTGTCAGGTGCCCACTGAGCACCCATCATCAGAAGTCCATTTAATCTTCCCGACAACCCTACCTTAACTGCCACTTGATAGAGGAGGAAACTGAAGCACAGAGAAGTCAAGTCAGTTGCCCAAGGTCACCCAGCTGGTCAGAGTCGGAGCCGAAGATCTAGGCCAGCGTTTTGTCCTCTGTCAAATGCCTAGACCCCACAGTGCGGATATCACAGAGAACAGACTACAGCAGACAGAAGAGATGCCAGCACCCCAAGTGCACAAAAGAATGTAGCATCACCTTCTTTTGCTTCGAAGAAAAATCACGCACAGGCAGGAAGCCAAGTTTAGGGAGAACAGCCGCCTCCCTCCCAAACCTCAATGGCCGGGTGTATGC